CTATAGAACTTGTCGGAGACTTCATATCTCTCGACCCGGGCATGAGCTTGGAAAACTAGTTTCAGCTCCTCGAACATCTCATATGCTTCGTGTTGCTCAAAACGCTTTTGGAGCCCCGGTTCTAAGCTGTAAAGCATGCTGCACTAAACGAGGGAGTAATCATCAGCACGAGACTGCCAAGCGTTCATAACGTCTTGGTTCTCTGGAACGGGTGCATCACCTAGCGGTCCTTCTAGGACATATTGTTTCCTGGCAACTATGAGGATGATCCTCAGGTTCCGGACCCAGTCCATATAGTTGCTGCCATCGTCTTTCAGCTTGGTTTTCTCTAGGAACGCGTTGAAGTTCATGTTGACATGAGCATTGGCCATTTGATCTACAAGACATATTTGCAAAGGTTTTAGACTAAGTTCATGATAATTAAGTTCATCTAATCAAATTATTACAATGAACTCCCACTCAGATTAGACATCCCTCTAGTCATCTAAGTGTTACACGATCCGAGTCGACTAGGCCGTGTCCGATCATCACGTGAGACGGACTAGTCATCGTCGGTGAACATCTCCATGTTGATCGTATCTTCTATACGACTCGTGTTCGACCTTTCGGTCTCTGTGTTCCGAGGCCATGTCTGTACATGCTAGGCTCGTCAAGTTAACCCTAAGTGTTTGCATGTGTAAACCTGTCTTACACCCGTTGTATGTGAACGTAAGAATCTATCACACCCGATCATCACGTGGTGCTTCGAAACGACGAACTTTAGCAACGGTGCACAGTTAGGGGAGAACACTTCTTGAAATTGTTGTAAGGGATCATCTTATTTACTACCGTCGTTCTAAGTAAACAAGATGCATAAACATAATAAACATCACATGCAATTATATAGTAGTGACATGATATGGCCAATATCATATAGCTCCTTCGATCTCCATCTTCGGGGCTCCATGATCATCTTCGTCACCGGCATGACACGATGATATCCATCATCATGATCTCCATCATCGTGTCTTCATGAAGTTGTCACGCGAGTTGACAAGATCTACGCCCACAACAAAATTGTGTTCTACTCGTGCAATAGAGAACTACGGATACACCTAGCTCATGATGCCACTGTTGGGGAACGTTGCAGAAAATTAAAAAATTTCCTACGGTTTCACCAAGATCCATCTATGAGTTCATATAAGCAACGAGTCAAGGGAGAGAGGTTGCATCTACATACCACTTGTAGATCGTGTGCGGAAGCGTTCAAGGGAAGGGTGATGATGGAGTCGTACTCGCCATGATTCAGATCACCGATGACCAAGTGCCGAACGGACAGCACCTCCGCGTTCAACACACGTACGGAACAGACGACGTCTCCTCCTTCTTGATCCATCAAGGGGGGAGGAGAGGTTAAGGAAGATGGCTCCAGCAGCAGCACGACGGCGTGGTGGTGGTGGAGCAGCAGTACTCCGACAGGGCTTCGCCAAGCTCGTGACGGAGGAGGAGAGGTGTTGGGGAGGGGAGGGGCTGTGCCTTGGTTGTGTTCCGCAGCCCTCCCCTCACCCCTCTATTTATAGGGGAAGGGGCAAGGGGGGGCCGGCCCCTCTAGATGAGATCTAGAGGGGGGGGGCGGTGGCCAGGGAGGGGGGCTTGCCCCCCAAGCAAAGGGGGGCGCCCCCACTAGGGTTCCCCCCCCCCCAACCCTAGGCGCATGGGCCCAAGGGGGGCGCCCAGCCATCCAGGGGCTGGTTCCCTGCCCCTTGAGGCCCATGAGGCCCTCCGAGAGGGGTGGCCCCTCCCGGTGGACCCCCGGAACCTCTCCGGTGTCCCCGGTACAATACCGATATGCCCCCGAAACTTTCCGGTGTCCGCATAACAACTTCCCATATATAAATCTTCACCTCCGGACCATTCCGGAACTCCTCGTGACGTCCGGGATCTCATCCGGGACTCCGAACAACATTCGGTAATCACATACAAGTCTTCCTAATAACCCTAGCGTCACCGAACCTTAAGTGTGTAGACCCTACGGGTTCGGGAGACACGTAGACATGACCGAGACGGCTCTCGGGCAATAACCAACAGTGGGATCTGGATACCCATGTTGGCTCCCACATGCTCCTCGATGATCTCATCGGATGAACCACGATGTCGAGGATTCAAACAACCCCGTATTCAATTCCCTTTGTCAATCGGTACGTTACTTGCCCGAGACTCGATCGTCCGTATCCCAATACCTCCTTCAGTCTCGTTACCGGCAAGTCACTTTACTCGTACCGTAATGCATGATCCCATGACCAAACACTTGGTCACTTTGAGCTCATTATGATGATGCATTACCGAGTGGGCCCAAAGATACCTCTCCGTCATACGGAGTGACAAATCCCAGTCTCGATCCGTGTCAACCCAACAGACACTTTCGGAGATACCTTTAGTGCACCTTTATAGTCACCCAGTTACGTTGTGACGTTTGGTACACCCAAAGCACTCCTACGATATCCGGGAGTTACCCGATCTCATGGTCTAAGGAAAAGATACTTGACATTGGAACAGCTCTAGCAAACGAACTACACGATCTTGTGCTATGCTTAGGATTGGGTCTTGTCCATCACATCATTCTCCTAATGATGTGACCCCGTTATCAACGACATCCAATGTCCATAGCCAGGAAACCATGACTATCTGTTGATCAACGAGCGAGTCAACTAGAGGCTTACTAGGGACATATTATGGTCTATGTATTCACACGTGTATTACGATTTCCGGATAATACAGTTATAGCATGAATAAAGACAATTATCATGAACAAGGAAATATAATAATAATCCTTTTATTATTGCCTCTAGGGCATATTTCCAACAGGATTGGGCTCGGTCTAGGTGTTGTCCGCGGGCGATGAGAGCCCTCTCATCATGGACAAGGTGGGCGTTGGTGGTGGCCGTGACGTAGCTGTGTCGGCGGACGGATCCGTGCCGATGACTACGGACATGGCGTCGTGCGAGCTCGTCTTGGCCAAGGCCAAAGGGCTATGGTTGGGGCTTGGTCGGCTGCCATTGGCAGTCATTGAATTGTGTCCCCTAGGTCCACCGGGACTGGCTAGGGATGCAGGCGTCGGCGCCTCCTACGGTGGAGGCGTTGATCCAGATTCGGTGGCTGATGCTGGGCTAGTAGTGGAACGGGTGCCTTCGCTCTTCCTACCGAGGTTGGTGCCCGGTGATGTGGCGGCCGCTGGTGTCTCGGACTTTGGATGCCGGGGCGGCGGCCCCGGAAGGAGGTCCGCATGGTTGGCTCTCCGGCAGGCACCATAGCGGCGGTGGTGGCTATGCTCCTTGGTTGTGTGGGCCGCAAGGTTGCAGCGGTGGGTGGCTTGGGCTCGCTCTGTGTCATTTTTGGGAGCGTCACCCAGATCCGGATCCGGAGGCTAGTACACGTCGTGATTGTCCTGGGTGCCTCGTGGTGGTATGGATGAGCTATCGAGCGAAAGCTTTGCGCTTTGGCATCGACGGCGGCAATGCGTACTGGTGCCGCTTTCCTCTTGAGGACGTGGTTGTGGTTATCCTCCGTGCCAGGGTTCCAGGTGAAGACCTTAGTCCGGATCGGACTCGATAACGGCGACGCCTAGCACCGTTTTTCCTCTTGAGGGCGTTGTCGTGGAGCTTACGTGTTGTAGGGTGTGTCGTGACGTTGTAGTCTAGTCTACCTGTATTATCTCTCGGCAATGTAATTGTATGTGTTTTATATTGTCCGGAATCCCGAGATCTGCTGTGTAAGAGGGCACCCTCACTACCATATTATCGTTCGGCCGTGTAACTTGGTTTGTGCTTTATCTATAAAGCGGGGCGAGAGCCTGTTTCGAGAGAGAGGGTCTGAGCTAGCATGGCATTGACTCACATGCAGTATATTAATTTTCTAAGTAGTTTTTATGTTTGCATATGAAAATCCTGCCGATCCATGCAACCGCAATATATATAGGGAAACGATCCTATTCAACCAGCTGATTTCCACCCCTCCATCAACCGTCTTTGGTGTCCGTCACGTGCCCCGGAGGTCCCGTCCCACTCCCCACGCCTCAACCTTATCCATCCTTTCCATTGATAATTTTCATCCTCATCTCTTCCTTCCCTCTCTCTCGTGTACCTGCTGCCCCAGCACTCAACCAAAGACCCCGCCCCATCAGCCGTCTACCACGGCTACTGATGCTTGCTGTAACTCCGGCCCACGTGCTCCCAGCCTGCCGCTTCGCTTATGCATCTATCGTTGCTTCAAGCGCAGTTGAGAAGCACAACAGCGGCCCCGCCTCCCGCTCCGCCGTTGTCGCAACATCCGCCAGTGCATCGCAGCTTCGCTGGAGTCGCCGGAGCCATTTCTGAGACAGAGCTATTGTTTCTGAAACAGAGTTATTGTTTCCGAAACAGAGCTATTGTTTATTCACCCAGGTGTTCATGATTCAGAGTGGAACAGAGCTAGTGTTTCAGAAACAAGAGCTCATCGAAGATTGTTGATGGGATTTGCTAGATGGAGCTTCAGGAAACACGAGCACTGTTGCAGGAAATCAGAGAAGACCAGATCTTGCAACAAAAGCATTGTTGCAGGAAATGCTCTTGTTGCAAATCCGTGCGGGGCGCAGATCTATCGAGAGCCGGGAGCAAGAGTGCTAATGTTTCTGCAACAACGCGGTTGTTGCGGAAAATAACTAGTGGGCATGCAGAGCGCGGACAGTAGATCGGGCGGCTATCAGGTCGGGCATCCAACGGTCGTCGAGGCGACGGATAAAATCAGAAAAACAATCAGCGGACGCATAGCGTCGCCCATATATATAGTTCAAACCAACCTTATGGAACCCTAAAAAAAACCAACCTTATGATAGGTACAAAAGGAATTTGAATTAAAAAAAGAGATGGAGACGGGATGAACCCGATTCACCCTTAGATTATTTTCCCTAGAGGCCGGGTGTTCCATAATTTCTAGATAAGTCGATACAATATATCCGCAGCGTGCGTGTAGGATTAGGAATGAACCTAGGCTGCCTCAGACAGTAGTCGGAAGTTGTCCACCAAGGCCTCCATGTGGGCACGGTGGAGCGCCACTGATACTTGGACGCCGCCTTCCCTCGCTCCCAGCAGAGTCACCTCCTCCCCGACGGTGATGGACACCAGCTCCACACGAGTCGGCGCGCCCCACCCGAAGTCCGTCTCGTACCCCATGAACCGGTTCGACGACCCAATCACCGTCACCCTCTCCGCCGGGAGCCCGCGGCGGCGCTCGAGGCGGCCCTCCATGTCGGCGACCGGGTCCTCCAGGCCCTCACGCATTGCCCTCTGGATAGCGGCACCGGCGTGCGCGAGCCCGTCGTCATCGCCGCTGCGGAGAAGGCACCCCACGGCTACCCTCGCGCAGCACCCCATGACGCAGTTGCCAAAGTAGGCCTCGTCCACCGGCGGCCGGAGGCGGCGGCGGCAGTCCGCGCTGAGCAAGAAGTAGGCGTCGTCGTCATTGTCCATGGACTTGGCCTTGGCGCGCACGAGGGACGCCCACACCAGGGACGACACGGCGACGTAAGTGGTCGGCGGCTGCTGGGTGCCGGTAATTTTGCTCTGCGACATGCGCTGCTTGAGCGACTGGATCTGGTCGGCGCGGAGCAGAAAGGTTCTCCTGCGCTGATGCGCCATGTCCGGCACTGGGAACGGGAATGGGTTCACCTGCATGCGTTCGGTCCAGTTGGTGATGAACTTGCGCGTCAGCTCCTGAGCTCTGGGATGACGAATCACCGCCCTGTCAAAGATGGGCGGCGGCGCGGCAACCGGCGAGCCTTCCCGAGCCGCGGCGGCCCAGGCCTTGATGAACCGCCACACCGACTGGCCGTCGGCTGCCGCGTGGTGAACGGACAAACCCACAGCAACGACTCCCCCTCCCCCTGCGGGCCTCGTGACCTGCACCGCGAGCACCGGGGCCGGGAGCCTCCCCACCTCGACCTCCGGCACTAGCTGCACGAACTCCTCCGCGTGGTGCTCGTCGTCAGCAGCGAGGTGGCGCATGTCGACAACGCCCGAGTACTCGGCTTCGACGAACCTGACGGCCGCATGTGCGGAGCAGTCGATGACGACGTCCCCCCCGGAGTCGGGGCGGTGGGTGATCTCGCCAGCGAGGGGCGGGAAGACGGCGAGCGTGGCGGCGAGGGAGGACTTGAGGGAGCGGACGAGGGCAGGGAAGGGCGGGAGGTCGGGGCTCTCGTAGAAGAAAAGTCGCTGGATCGGCGCCATGGTGACGTACAACGCGTCGAAGAAGGAGAGCTTGACGTCGGCGGTATGGTCGGCAGTCGGGAGATCATCGGGGCGGACATGGGTGACGCTGAGAACTCGCACTCGGGAGCTCATGCTAGCTAGCTGCAACCTGCAACTGCAACGCACCAAGTGCCTGCTACTAAGTACTCCTACTATACTTTGGTCAGCTGTGATTGTCTGCATAAAAATGAACTGAGCGCCAAACAGATCCAGCTCCTCCCACCACGTACGCCTCCGATCCAGATCCAGATCCAGCTCCTCCCACCACTGAGCACCCTCACACCGTTGGTATGCAGCCCGTAGAAAAGCGGGACCCGCACGTACATAAAGAAATCGAAGCTGCTAAAAATCAGTTGAGGCAGCCGTTCGATCTCTGTGTTGCTGGTAGATTCGTTCAGGGGCGCTTTGTCTTTGTTTCGGCTTGTCTAGACACGGACCGGCCCGTTTCCTTTTTTTTTTGTCGAACAGCGATCCCGCGTGAGCATTTTGCTTTTGTGGGCTGGGCTGGTGTTCGGGGCGGACTTTTTTTGTTTTTTCTGTTTTGTTTTGGGGCCGCATTAAAGAGAGTTAGGGGAAGCGGCCACCCGTGTGGTAATTAAGAAGAGGGGAACGGGCAGTCAGAGCTCATTCCACATCGTCTCTCTCTTTCTCCATTCCCCATTCTCAAATCGGAAGAAGTCCGCAGGGGAAGAAGAGACGCCGAGCTCCAAGGTTTTCTTCAACGAACAGATTGATGTGCTACTGCATGCCCAACGAGAGAGTTTCCTCTACCTTCTCTCCATCTGTTGTTTGTCTTGTTTGTTGTTGCTACACCGTAGTAGATCTGAAGGGGATTGGTCGATTTTTGTTTGGATCAAGTGTAGATTAATAGCTTCAAGCGTAGAATCGGCTCCAGGATTTTTAACCATTTTTTTCGTGTCCTTATTCTTCAGGCAGTTAAATAATGGAGGTGCTTATTTGTGATTCATGTGGATGTAAAGGTGGGGTAGTTGCACGTATGAGTTCAAGATGTTTTGTATTACCTCAATGCCAGCCAGAGTGAGCGGCTGGTAGGCCTTGTTATGTGCTGCAGACCTCACGCCATGTTAACTGCACTTTAGTCTTTAATTTCAGTTAGCTTCAGTTAGTTCAGTTTTGCTTATTACTTTCCGAATTACTTGTCGCAGGTATGAATGTATCTAGATGTATTTTAGTTCTAGGTACATTCATTTCTGCGACAAGTAATTTGGAACAGAGGGAGTAGTTGAATAATTTAGTGCAACGCTTGGTGTGAGTCAGCAACATGACGTCCTGTCCTGGGATGGCACGATGCTAAGTACATGTCTGCTGCACTGTTGGAGTTTGTCGCTCTCCCATGTATCCAGTAGAGTACATACGGATTTTGTCTCGCCATACTTTCATACCCGCCTGTTTATTTTGTTTGTAGCAAGTATTTGATTAGTAGTTTTTTCTGCAGGGGAAGTATTTGATTAGTAGTTTCAAGCAGAGAATCGCCCCCAGAGTTTAGACCTTTTTTTATTTTTAGTTTTGATTTTTGTGCGTTCATGCATAATAGTGTCTCTTGTTCACGCATGTCGATCGGCAATGTCGGCGTGGTGGATTTGAGGATGAAACTGGTTTCTTTGCTTGTAGCTAGATTCACTTACCTCAATAAATAAAGCTCTATTTTATGTGGCACCTCTTTTGTCATTCAGATGTCGCTTTTTGCTCTGTTTCTGAGGCTTTATCCAATAAAGATTTTTTTACAACTAGTAGTACTAAAATTTTAGTATCCCTAAGAGACTGAGATGAAGGGTTTTCTCCTTTGGATTGTACTGGAAGTAGTATTATCAACACTTCTTTTTATGCTTGTAGGTACTATATAGAAGTTTTTCTTAGGGTTCTTAGTGTGAAGAATATGCTATAGTATTTGAGCAAGGGGTAGAGAGAGAGAGAGAGAGAGAGAGAGAGAGTAGAGTGCATTTTTACACCCTCTGTGCATCAGTAGGTGACAAGGGAGATGTGTTTTAGGCTTACTAAGTTGACGTTTCTTTTTTGTTAGGATATAACTTGTGCTAGTCATTCTTTTTTTTGGACAACTTTTTTTGATCTCATGAGTGCTGACGCTGATAGGGATATTTGTTGTCTCTAGAAGTGGTTCTCTCATATCCCCTCATATCTATTACTGACCCATCACTAGTCATCACTAGGAGTGGTTCAGTCCCTTGTTTGTTTATTTAGTCCAGATTAGTAATTTGAAGAATATGATTTTGCCAAAACAATTTTTTGCGCAGTCAGTTGCATGTTTTGAGGATTATTATTGAACTCAAATCCCCTCATATGTACTCCCTCCGTCCCAAAATAAGTGACTCAAGTTTGTACTAACTTTGTACTAAAGTTAGTACAAAGTTGAGTCACTTATTTTGCATACCCAACTCTAGTTATGCAACTGCATGTCTTCCTGTTGGGGAACGTTGCAGAAAATTAAATTTTTCCTACGGTTTCACCAAGATCCATCTATGAGTTCATCTAAGCAACGAGTCAAGGGAGTGAGTTTGCATCTACATACCACTTGTAGATCACGTGCGGAAGCTTTCAAGGGGATGGTGATGATGGAGTCGTACTCGACGTGATTCAGATCACCAATGTCCAAGTGCTGAACGGACAACACCTCCGCGTTCAACACACGTACGGGACGGGAGACGTCTCCTCCTTCTTGATCCAGCAAGGGGGAAGGAGAGGTTGAGGAAGATTGCTCCAACGGCAGCACGACGGCGTGGTGGTGTTGGTGCAGCAGTACTCCGACAGGGCTTCGCAAGCACGTAACAGAGGAGGAGATGTGTTGGGGAGGGGAGGGGCTGCGCCTTGGATGTGTGTACAGCAGCCCTCCCCTCACCCCTCTATTTATAGGGGAAGGGGCAAGGGGGGCCGACCCCTCTAGATGGGATCTAGAGGGGGGCAGCGGCCAGGGAGGGGGGACTTGCCCCCCAAGCAAGGGGGGGCGCCCCCCTTAGGGTTTCCCCACCAACCCTAGGCGCATGGGCCCAAGGTGGGGGCGCGCCCAGCCCTCCAGGGGCTGGCTCCCTCCCCTTTGCGGCCCATGTGGCCCTCCGGGAGGGGTGGCCCCTCCCGGTGGACCCCCGGAATCTCTCCGGTGGCCCCAGTACAATACCGATAAGCCCCCAAAACTTTCCGGTGTCCGTATGACAACTTCCCATATATAAAACTTCACCTCCGGACCATTCCGGAACTCCTCGTGAAGTCCGGGATCTCATCGGGGACTCCGAACAACATTCGGTAGTCACATACTAGTCTTCCTAATAACCCTAGCGTCACCGAACCTTAAGTGTGTAGACCCTACGGGTTCGGGAGACATGCAGACATGACCGAGACCACTCTCCGGTCAATAACCAACAGCGGGATCTGGATACCCATGTTGGATCCCACATGTTCCACGATGATTTCATCGGTTGAACCACGATGTCGAGGATTCGATCAAAACCCCGTATACAATTCCCTTTGTCAATCGGTACGGTACTTGCCCGAGACTCGATCGTCGGTATCCCAATAACTTGTTCAGTCTCGTTACCAGCAAGTCACTTTACTCGTACCGTAATGCATGATCCTGTGGCCAACAGCTTGGTCACCTTGAGCTCATTATGATTATGCATTACCGAGTGAGCCCAGAGATACCTCTCCGTCATACGGAGTGACAAATCCCAGTCTCGATCCGTGTCAAACCAACAGACACTTTCGGAGATACCTGTAGTGCACCTTTATAGTCACCCAGTTACGTTGTGACGTTTGATACACCCAAAGCACTCCTACGGTATCCGGGAGTTACACGATCTCATGGTCGAAGGAAGAGATACTTGACATTGGAAAAGCTCTAGCAAACGAACTACACGATCTTTGTGCTATGCTTAGGATTGGGTCTTGTCCATCACATCATTCTCCTAATGATGTGATCCCGTTATCAATGACATCCAATATCCATAGCCAGGAAACCATGACTATCTGTTGATCACAACGAGCTAGTCAACTAGAGGCTCACTAGGGACATATTGTGGTCTATGTATTCACACGTGTATTACGATTTCCGGATAATATAGTTATAGCATGAATAAAAGACAATTATCATGAACAATGAAATATAATAATACTTTTATTATTGCCTCTAGGGCATATTTCCAACAGTATCCCACTTGCACTAGAGTCACCAATCTAGTTACATTGTGATGAATCGAACACCCATAGAGTTCTGGTGTTGATCATGTTTTGCTCGCGAGAGAGGTTTAGTCAATGGATCTGCGACATTCAGATCCGTGTGTACTTTGCAAATATCTATGTCTCCATCATGAACATTTTCACGGATGGAGTTGAAACGACGCTTGATGTGCCTGGTCTTCTTGTGAAACCTGGGCTCCTTGGCAAGGGCAATAGCTCCAGTGTTGTCACAGAAGAGTTTGATCGGCCCCGACGCATTGGGTATGACTCCTAGGTCGGTGATGAACTCCTTCGCCCAAATCGCTTCATGCGCTGCCTCCGAGGCTGCCATGTACTCGGCTTCACACGTAGATCCCACCATGATGCTCTGCTTGCAGCTGCACCAGCTTACTGCTCCACCATTCAACATATACACGTATCCGGTTTGTGACTTAGAGTCATCCAGATCTGAGTCGAAGCTAGCGTCGATGTAACCCTTTACGACGAGCTCTTCGTCTCCTCCATAAACGAGAAACATGTCCTTTGTCCTTTTCAGGTACTTTAGGATATTCTTGACCGCTGTCCAGTGTTCCGTGCCGGGATTACTTTGGTATCTTTCTACCAAACTTACGGCAAGGTTTACATCAGGTCTGGTACACAGCATGGCATACATAATAGATCCTATGGCTGAAGCATAGGGGATGACACTCATCTCTTCTTTATCCTTTGCCGTGGTCGGTAACTGAGCCGAGCTCAATCTCACACCTTGTAACATAGGCAAGAACCCTTTCTTGGACTGATCCATTTTGAACCATTTCAAAATCTTATCAAGGTATGTGCTTTGTGAAAGACCTATGAGGCGTCTCGATCTATCTCTATAGATTTTGATGCCAAATATATAAGCAGCTTCTCCAAGGTCCTTCATTGAAAAACACTTATTCAAGTAGGCCCTAATGCTGTCCAGAAGTTCTATATCATTTCCCATCAAGAGTATGTCA